TTAATTCTCCAAGAGAGCGCACTAATAGGTCTGTTGTGCTAATAGCTGCATGGTGGCGGTCTGTGGCTCAAACAGGCCAATGGCACTAATGGGTGTCTGTAGTTGGCCGATCTAGCTCTCATATTGCTGTGGTGCTAACAGGTCTATGATTTTCTTCAAGTCCTCCTTGGAAGCCCCTACTTACCAGTTTAGATGACTTTTTTTTTTAACGCACTTGCAGTCATCAGATTCATCCACTCGGGGAAGGGGTCCGAAGCAAAAGTGATGTTAGTAAATGTTCTTCTGCATGTTACATGCAATTACACATTTCCACCAGAGGGGTCTCCAAATCCCCAGATCTTACACAGTGTATCTAAAAGTAATGTTGAAGAGTTTTTTTTTTTTTGAGAGAGAGAACAGTAGCTCAACAAAAACGATGAACTGTATTGAAAGCAAACATCCAAAAGCAATAAAACAGACAACTGGTTTGTCCATGTTCTTCAATAGAAAGAGTGATAAACAGCAGTGTGAGGAAATCACACATGGGTGTGCAAAATTATGAATAAGGACATGGTTTATAGCGATGGCTTTCAAGATCTACTGAAGTACATTTAGCCAAGGCCATCCAGTTATTTCATTAACTTTTCATTTGGTTTTCTTTCGGAACCTGAACATACTATAGTTGACAGCCCCCCATTTTATACAAACCAGGTGTTTATGTAGGGTATGTTTAATACAGTTTCAGGCCCTTTAGTCCATATGCGTGCTTATGCCTGGTTCCACAAGGAACACTTCTTAATATCTCAATATGCCAGTTAATGATTAATTTCAGACTAATGACTGTCAGTTATTGTTCAAAAGAATTTGCCAAAATTTGCATCCGTAGCTCCAAGAGAGATATGGCACTGATTATGGCTGTAACAGGTCTGTGGTGCCAGCATGTCCTTGATGTTAACAGGTCTCTGCTGCTAACAGCTCTGACAGTATTCCAATACCAACTACTTGTTTTTCCAAGACTGTTACAATACGTATACTTGGAATACTGCCCATCCTTATCCTTAGTGAAGGTGTTCAGTTTTGAACTATAAACCATCAAGTTTCTTTACATCGAGGTCTCCTGTACTTAAGATGTTTTCTTTTGCCTCTCAGCTCCGTAGCACTTCCCAAAAGCGGAGGCAGATGCAGATATGAGGTCATCTGCCAAAAAAAGCAGGCTTCTCCCCTGAGGCTCGCCCTTCTGGCAGTGTACAAGCACAATCTGATCCGTATCGGCTGCCGTCTCTCCTGCCCACAGCTCGCTGTCTCTCGAACATGAGAGCACTTCGCCCTCTGTGCTTTGTGCTATTCGTCGAGCGTTTTGGTTTTCAGCTGACTCACCTCTTCCCCAGAGAGATCAGCCTGCAGTGGCAAACTGCATCTCCGCCTGCCTTTTCTCTAAGAGCTTTGAGGGGTTTTTAATTCTGTAGTCCAGAGCATAAAAGTACACTAGCTTGAACTTTATGTAAATTATGGAGACTCATGTGTTTAGGAGGACAGTATTTTGATAGTGTTGATTGTTGCATGATGGAGCAACAGTGACAGTGTAAAAAGTTATATTAATTCATAGTGACTCATTTTTAAAGATCCACTTGACTCTATTCATTTAAAAGGCAAAATAACAGTGATCACCCTAAGTTGTTGGTGAGCTGCAAGAAGCATATCTGAACCTATAGATCGATACTGATTGCTATAAGTGCTTAACTGATCTTTAATTGATCTGATTATATGGTCCCCTTCACAAGCATTGCACTCCTGGTGAGGGTGAGTGAAAAGGGGTGTAGGAAATTCACCTTTGGATGAATCAGCTCAGTCTCACACTGAAAAAATGAGAAAAATCCAATCTTAAATTTATCCTGGGACAAAATTTTATCTTGATGAAGGATTTTTATTCTTAACAAAACCATATATGGCACAGATATTTGTACCTCTAAAAACTCTTAGAAACAAAAGGTAACTGAAGAATTTTAGATTTTAGATTTATATTTTACTTTTTTTAAAGCTAATCAGAGAGTCTAGAAACTTTCAAGCAGTAATCCGTGACTTCCTGTTTAACTGGCATGTATATATGAGGTGACACGGAGGTCAGATTCCCTTATGCTTTGTCCAAAATCACATTCCACCCCACTAAATAGTATGCCACCATTAGAAGAACATTCATTAATTTAGTGTGTATATTACAGTAGTATGCGGTTTTGAACGCAGCTTTAGTCATTCTCCATCACGGGAAAGACAAGAGAACATTCAGTTCCAATAAGGGGAAAGTGTGTTGACCTTCATAACTTGGGGAACGGCTATAAAAATAACTACTGGTTTGAATATGCCCATATCTACAGTTAGAGCAAAAATTAAGAAGTTCCAGTCGACTGGAACTGTGACAAACTCGCTTGGATGAGGACCCAAGTTTATTTTGCCCCCCCACACACAGTGATGAGGATGGTGAGAGGCAAAAAAATCCCATAGTATCACTGTTGGAGAGTTACTGAAAAAAGTAGCATTCTGGGGTCACCAAGTCTCCAAAACTACCATCAGACACCACCTCCATGCCAACAGATTATTCGGCATGCTTGCCAGGAAAAAGCCTTTCCTGTCATCTAACCACAAACGTACGTGCCTGGAGTTTTCTGAACACCACTGGGACTTTGACTGGAGCCGTGTTCTCTGGTCAGATGAAAGGAAAATTGAGCTTTTTGGCAACAACACTAAAGGTAGGTGTGGTGTAAAAGGAAGGATGACCACAGTGAAAAGAACCTGATGGCCACTGTTGAGTATGGTGGAGGCTCCGTGATGTTGTGGGGCTGTTTTTCCTCCAAAAGCCCTGGGAACCTCATTAGGGTACATTGCATCATGCACTCCATGAAATACTAGGACATTTTAAATCAAAATCTGTCTGCCTCTGCCAAGACACTAAAAATGGGTCGTTATTGGATTTTCCAGCTGGACAATGATCCAAAACATATGTCTAGATCAATACAAACATGGCTTACTCAACACAAAATCAAGCTTCTGCCATGGCCATCTCAGTCCCCTGATCTAAACCCTATAGAAAACCTGTGGGGTGAGCTAAAGAGGAGAGGGCATAAGAAAGGACCTAAGATGCTGGACGATCTGGATGGTCTCAAATGCCCTGCTCTGTATTCTCCAACCTTATAAGATGTTATAGGAGAACACTAAGTGCTGTTTTATTGGCAAAGGGGGTTTATACAAAGTATTGAGTGCAGGGGTGCCAATTGTGGCACATGTGGTTTTGTTACAGATATTTATTTCTTGATGAGGGATCTTTTCTTCTCAGAATTAATTTACTTCAATTAAAGGTTGGATTCTTATCATTTTTTGAGAAAAAAAGTGAATTTCTTATAACCGTTTTAGTCATCTATACCAGGGGTTCCAATAATTGTGGAGGAGACTGTAGCGGGTAATAAAGTCCATTTGTCTTCTACCAAGCAAGAAAACTCTGTAAACATTTCCAAGTTTAAAGTGGCTCTTCAGTATCACTCATTCTACTATCAGTGTTTGTCTATGGACATTGCATGGCTATGTGCTTGATTTTATACACCTGTTAGCAATGAGGGTGAGTGAATTACCTGAACTCAATCAATAATTAGTGAGTTTACTTACTGTATCCTTACAGGCATCTGGCACATTCTAATCATACCAGTTACTTGACAGGGAAAAAAACTTTAGTGCATTTCCATGTACTTAGAAATGAACAGAAAACCTATCAATTTATTCTAAACACATTTCTAATGGAGGCCATTAGAAATATGTTACTGAAACTGAAATGTTACTATATAGCACAATTTCAAAACTACTAACCATTACATATGAACAATACAAGTCTTTTGATAAGGCAAACATGAGAATGTCTACCAAACATGTTCTTATAGTTTTAACTTTTAGACATAAACCATCAGGTTTCTTTACATTCATGTTTTCTTTTGCCTCTCAGCTCCATCATATGTTATGAGGTCATCTGCCAAAAAAAAAGCAGGCTTCATTCTAATAATACAAGCTTTTTGATGCAAACATGACAATGTCCAAACATGCTCTTGGCTAACTTTTAGGCATCGTAAAAAAAAGCAATACAGTATCTAATCTTGACATTGTAAAAAAGCAAAACAGTAGCTATTCCAATTACTCCTGCTTTCCATAAAGTTTTCCAGTATTCCATGCATGAGCAGTGAAAACTTGGCCTACTAAAGTTCTTTACTCTGGTAAACTCATATCTGAAAGTATGAATGGTACAGGTTTACAGCCTAGTTTACAAGTACCTTTAACGTTTAGTGATGGAATTCTGCACCTGTCCATTGGCTTCTATTATAAGTGTATCCAAGTTTTGCTTCATTTCTAAGTACACGGAATAAGTACACAGCAGTGACCTTCTTTATGAACTGTACCACAGCAGACCAGATTAGGCTGAAAAAAGCTGTTTTCCTTTAACCTCCATAGATTCTTGTGCCCTATTTGCGGCTTCCCACAGAGAGATAAATGGGACTGGGCGATGGAAGTCTGAACTGGCGTGACTTCAGGGGTCAGCTGAGGCTTCTAACTTATTGGAGAGTCTTGTCTGCAGATGAAAGACTCACCGGTTTACTTGTTCTGGCTTTGAACCTGTGCCTTTACGTCCCTCCTTCAATGCCACTGCCCCTCACCCAGCAGAGACAGCATTAGAGACTATAGAACACATTATTGGCCCACGCACCCACTTCTCAAAGACCTTAGACAACCCTCGCCCGCTGAGCCATGTATGTGTGTTAAACGCTGGGCCCAGACACTGAATGACACCAACCCTTCACACACACATACACACACTCAGCCTCCTCCGCAACTCGAGGAAAGAGAAACCCAGTTGCTAGGAGACCTGGTCTCCAGTGCAGCTCAAACACAGAGCCATCTGCCGCTGTAAACAGGAGATGGTGGGGCAGCTCAGAGCCTGGCAGACTCCCTGCAAAAGCAGAGCAGGCGAGAGGAATACAGACACCATCTTTTAAGCCTTTCCATTATGAAATAATGCAGCCTGCAGTCTGCTGAAGTCCACATCTGTACATTCGTTTTGTTTCCGTCATCAGTGAGGATGTGTAAGCATTAAGGCCTACTGTAACTGAAACCACAGTTTACATAATGTATTTCTTACTGAGTAAAAACAATTAGCTGTTACAATGAGGCCCAACAAAACCACAACAATCAAATAAGATGATGTTTTAGGTTTTTATTTTCATTTAGATGAAGCTCCAGTAGTAGTCACCATCTCCTCATCCTTTTATAAAAGACACTAAAATCTAAACATTTTCCAAGAGTAAAAAAGTAGCAAATATTGTACACCCGGTTAGGGCTTCAGACAGAAAGCATGGTAGATGCTAAAATGATGTTCATAGTCATAAATAACAAACCTTACACATGACTATTTACAGTCTGAAATGCACAGATCAACAGAAACAGCGATGCCTTTCATTAATATAAATGTATATGTTCATATATATTAATATCTGTCATTTACAATAAAGAAATAACGCATTTCACAGAGATAAAAGCTATCAAGCTTGGCTTTCAGCTATTCCTAACACCTTAGATCACTACTCTCTGGCTATCCTCTGTTTGGTTAGCTATTTGTAAATTGATAGGTTCTTTGGTTGGTTGGTGGACGCCAAAAAGGCATCTTCACTGGTGATCTCTAGCCTTGGGATTAGGGCTCATGAATTAGCTTTCGTTTGTTTCAAAGAATTCTGGATTATTCCAGTTTTCTGGAATGATGTTTTCTTAGGTGGCAGTATACTGTTTCTTAAGTAATCCTACAGTGAGATTTTGCTCTGAAAACCTCGTCCTCATGCCTAGAACTTTTATCTAAAAGCATCATCATCAGGACATACTCACTCTCCCCGAAACGTTAAAGAAATACGCCAACAGTTTTTTTAACCTATATTTGCTGCATCTGTAGCGTATGGTTAATTACCACAGACAGTAATTTCCCTGTATTTAGGAAAGAGCAGAAAATTGATTCACAACGCACTGAAACAAGTGCCTTCTGGCTGCACTTCAAGTCATAGAGTTTTCTGTTGTTCTATTAAGTTAACATGTTAAAATGATTACCTATGGTAAACAACCATATGCCAGAAATGCAGCAGATGGAGACAAGATTAAAAAACACTGGAGTATTAATTTGATGTAAGCTAAAGACGGTATGATTACAGTGAAAGCGGGAGCAGCACAGACGGCTAACACTGAACACAGACTATAGGGGAGGCCCAGGTACAATACCATGTAACTGGCTACATAGACAGGTTAACGTTCATTTTAGTATGCAGGGACAAAAGGAGTGCTATTCAGAATGGAGGAGAGATGTTAGTGTCATGTCAATGGCAAGGCAGGGCGATCTAGTTTAAAAGCTCTCTCTGCCATCTTGGACTGGTTTAGCCCCTCATATGGGCCTCCTTCATTGGTCGGTTCATCAGAGGCCCATTCAGAGACCTATCCTCACTGGCCTAGCTGGCAGTAGCCACACTCGGCTGGATTTTGCGGTAATCATCTTAGCCTTCTATTCACCCAGTGTGGAGAAAGACCCTTCAACTCCGTGACCCTGCGGCCATGGTCCTGCCAAGCGCAGTGTGCCACTCGGACATGCACACGCACACACGCACAAAGGGCTGTCTGAAGCACTCAGGCTAGGATGGGAGAGACATGCAAGTGTCTAGAAAGGTGTTTATCGATGCGTGTGCAGATTTCACTGTACATGTCTGTACACCTGTTACTGGATGCGTTTGTGTCCATCTCTTCAGCCAGACACACACACGCACGCACACACGCACTGTTCTGGGGCTGCCTCTCCTTTACATCTGGCCCAGCAGAGTGCCCCCATCCCCACCCGCCCCGACCCCAGGGACCAGGACTGTGTGTGTGTGTGTGTGTGGGCAGGATGTTGGGTAGAACATTGGAGGAAAGGCAACATCAAACCAGCGTCACTCATTCACCCACACAAGCACTGCCTGAACCGGCTTCATCCGTACTCCGCCCTCGCTTCTCATGAGGCCACTCCCTCTCAGCTAGCTCAGCTCAATCCCAGCCGTTGTCCTTTATCATGTGGGCCAGCTCGATGATAAACTTCCCCTCCTTATACTTCTGGCTGCTCTCAAAGGCGTGCTCCTGAGGGAAACAGGACAGAGAGAGAGAGCAGAGTGAAGGATGATTTATACTTCTGGGAAGATGCACGTAAAAGTAACTCAAGGGGTTCACAGATGAGTGTAGCTTGCAGAGGCCACAACAAGCACGACTCCAAAATCTCAACTGCAGAGCTATGCGTTAAGCAAATGATCCGATTGGCCAGCTGGTAGCGTTCAAATGGAGCAGTCTGAGGATCAGCTGCAGAAGAGATGCGAGGTTACAAACGTTTGTCTGATCAAAACAGTGAATTCAATATTTCCAAAGTCTTGGAAAAAGATTCGGAAAAACACAAGACTTTCATCTTTACTTACTGTACACTCTGTTTTGGACACTGCCCCCTACCGTACATGTTCATGTTAAAAGTATGTTGGCAGAAACCTATGTGAACATCTGTACACAACACCCGCACATGTTTGCAGACAGGCATAAGCAGATGTATAAATCAGCCTTAAAGTCAACGTGAATTGGAAATCAGAACACTTTTTTCTGAGAAACACAGGATAATTCAGGCAGAAAGTTAAGGAAGGGCAGGGTATGATTTTATCCTTTGGGATTTGATTGGATCATGAAAATTCAGTGCTCTAAAACAAACATCAGACCCCAGCGCTAGTCTACCATTAATTGGAATGATGCAGGGGAAGGGGGGGCATGCTATAATTTTATTGGTTAACATCATTTGTCCCTGACTGCTGGTGCATGGTGACAAACATCGGAAAGTATTTAGAGGTGGGCAAAAGTCAAAGATTATGGAGAAACAAGAATTCTGTCTTTTAAGTGAAATATGATGAACTGACTAGTGGCAAAGGCCCTGAACTATCAAGGTAAAAAAAAGTTTCATTTCAGGTTGACTTTAAGGAATGAAGAACAAGAGAGTGATCATCCAACTGATCAAGTTGTCAGTATCCATCAACTTCATGCAAACCATTCATGCAAAAACTTTGATTGACAAAGTTGTGTTGAATGTTTTCATCAAGAATTTCAAGTATATCGATTTTTTTTTTTACAGATTTTTTACACATACCCTGAAATTAGGTTCCATTTTTTTTCTGATGTGTCTCTTATAGATGTTATTTACAGCAAATATATTATTATTATAAAATAACATTATTTTCTAGAATGAAAAAGAATTAGAAAGGTTCTCTTCTTGTGTTTATGCATACCTGGACTGTTTTTCCTGTTAAAACATTTCTGGAGTAGTTTTTTTTGCAACATTTTAAGGGTCGAACAATTTCTCTATTGAAGTCAAACGGAAAATATTTATTGCTATTTGTAAAATACTATTTGATATTTCTATTTTCTGCACCATTCTACATCATCAAAATTCCTCAGATGAAGGATCTGAAACACAGTTGGAAATTATTTTATTGTTTATATCTCCCGATCATGTACTTTCATCTTCCCCTTCTGTTGAAAAGTCGCCCTCCAAAATGTCAAGCTCAGAATGATCATGCTTTGGAAAACATCAGATGCTGGTTCTGTCACACTATGCCTCACTACAGTCCTCAAACATGTTGTTTGTCCAGCTCTTTCCGAAACAGATGGGAGCGGGCAGTGTCCTCAAATTTCACGGCATAGCAGTTCAGTAGGTCAGTCTGCCATTTTGACACTGTGGCATCTGAATGCCCCCACAGGGCATATTAATATCTGACCCGCTTATAAATAACCGGGCCAACGTAGGGTGTGTATACCAGCTGGATTGCTTGCACTTCTCCGCTACTTGTGTGCGGGTGCCTTTATTTGCGCACACCCACAAGACAACTAATAACTTGGATGTCAGGCTTGAGCGGAAATCCAGGACCGCCAATACATGCAAATAACAGAATGTGGCGCAGCTGCTGGGCGAAAACGGACACCATGCAGAGAATGTAAGCTGGACTTTAAGCGCGTGGATGGCTTTGCATAGCTACATGTAATAGCAAAGGATTATCTGTTTTGGTGTCCTTGACCAGCTAACATGTGACCTTGAGTGTTGTGAATTTGAAAAAGGTGCCCTAATGAATTCCTGAACATAGCAGTAGGCAAATAAGGAAAAGGGTCAGATGTTTTTCTACACAAATATGTGTGTGGCTTGTAGAGTATTTCAGTAGTCTAAACATGACTGCATATCTGTCACTGTTCACTCACATATTTCCATCCCAGCGTGGTTTTGCAGTTCTCACAGTAGATGTCTGCTACTGCATGCAGGCCGGTGAGTAGCACTCGCTCCTCTGCTGGACCACAACCCACATTCACCCTACAGGGCGACAGAGAGAGAAAGATTATTATGAGAAAGTTAATATGAGGATAAGAGTGGGGCCTAAACTCTTCATCATGTACTCTATACTTACACAGAGTTGAAGAGATAGGCTCTGCCTTGACTTCCTTGAAAAGACTTAAGAGAAAAGCAAAAAAAAACTTATGAGCTTCAAACAACAGATTTTTCTGTCTAAACCATCTTTTGACCCTGTACAGCGTTAAATGATAATGCCAAGCTGTGCAGCATCTGCTGACCTGACCCCAAACTGCCACCCAAGCTGCCTTGCTTCAGCCATGTTTGTTCCTGACTGCTACTTCCATTTAACACTGTGAAACAAGATCCAGAGTCTCGCAAGTTTTCTTCCATGTATCTGGCATTGGCAATACATGACTAAGGCAATGTATCAATCTGGAATTAGTCTGATTGGCTGATTAATCAGTTTGCTCGGCCACATTTTACCCAAACCAGTCAATGTGTTCAGACGTGCTACTATTTTGGTTTCTGAAAATCTTAGAAGAAACCACAACAATGGCTGAAGCTCTTGAGATTGATGATGCTATACTGTTGGTTACTGAAAAACTATTTGATTGAATTTTAAAAAAGCAGCCACTGTCTGTTTTGAAGGCCCTTCTGAGAGGTGATGCTTTTGTAGATTTCCCAGACTGTTCACCAAACTGAGCAGTGGTGACTCCCACTCCCATGTCGACATCCCGCTGATCACCTTGGAGATGAGCTCGTCGTGGTTTGCCAGATGTGCGCGGCAGTGGATGCAGCTGTAGGTGCGGTGGCAGCTGGGCAAGTAGGCCTGGAAGGTTTTGGAGCGCGTCATGGTGACCATGGGCGGGGTGGCCGGGCGGTGCAGAAAGGGGCTGCCGGCCCAGGACGGCTCGCAGGGGAAGCACCGCAACACACAGGTGAGGGCCGTGGTGGGGCGCGGAGTGGGGGACACACACCTATGGAGAACAGCGCATCTATATGTTAATTGTAAACAACACAGATAGGAGGGCTGTTGCAGGCATCTAACTGCATAAATGCAACATTTGGCAAGAGGTCTCATTACCACAGTTTTCCTCTACACAAAATGTAGTAAATCATCCAAGATGTTTGGTGTCCGAAGCTTGCTTCGTTTTGCACTGGGGGACAAGGCCAATGTAGCTAACAAGAAATAGATTCTTATACCACGGCAATTGGCAAGATGGTTGCTGTTTCCTTTTTTAGGGCTGCCAAGGTTAACGCATTAATAACATGGTAATGCAATAAATTATTAATAGCACAATTTTTTTTCCCTGCTTTCCTAGTTTTACTCTATGAAACATCCACAGTAGTCCAGCTTTTAAATGACTTTTAAAGCAACATGCAGCACCGTCAACAGACTGTGCTGGACAGTGCTTGTGGGATACCTATGGAAAAATCTATAAACAGCAGACTAACAAAAACAACAGCAAAGTGGAAGGCTACAGTTCCCCTCGAGAGCCTCCACTGTAACAAGCATCCACAAGCTGTATGAAGAGTGAGAGGCTACAATCTCAACGGAGTAGGATATGATATATATACTCCTTGGTTGGAACATGCAACCACTGTTGCTCTCACTGGATGTCGGTAATGAAAATTTACCCTATAGAAATCACATGATTTTCGTGTGTTCACACCAATGAATTATTTAAAGTAATAAATACTATGTTTTGAAGCTTTTTAAAACATAGTATTTATTATATTTTCCCCCTCATATATATATATACAACAACATGCTGCTTTTTAAATTGAAAAATTCTTTCTTTAGGGTCAGATTTGAGTAAACAAGACAACTGCAATTAAGCACAACTGACTTCATAAAATAATGCAATTATTAATATTATAAATATGTTAAATGTTTGACAGCCCTACCATTTTTGGACAGCACTGTCAGAGACCACATAAGCAAGCCTTATAGAGATTACCTAAAACTTTGTGTGAGGTACATGTGTGATGATTTAGGCATGCAGACAATGCTAATAAGCTTCTATTACTTGTTAGCTCCTTTAGCCTGGTATCTCCAGTACAAAACTAAACAAACTAATTTCAGACACCAAATGTCTTGCATTATCATCTACATTTGGGCTAAGAGGAAAACTGCAAATATAATACATCGCCGAACTAACACCATGTAGTGACGGTAACAGGAGTATGTACGCTGTTTGAAAAGAGTATATCTGCAGGAGACAGACTGAGCTGTGCTAAGTGATTGTGGAAGGCTGCTGTGTGGATGCTGCAGTGATCTCTGCAGTAGGAGGGGTGTGCTGAGGCCAGGAATCAACGCGGCTGTGGGCTCCGAGTGGAATAGCGGCTCTTGTGTTCTTTGTATTGTTTCACAGCCAAAAGCGTGGGGCCGGGGCATAAAGAGACCACTGAGAGAGCTCTTACACACACACACACACAGAGCGGACTCCCACATACAGTCACACAAACTGACACCACAAACAAACATACTCACATACAGACGACCCGCTGTCACCCCGGTACGCCCCATATCCACGCCCTGAGCTGAGCAACACCAGGGTATTTCAGGACTCAGCCCGTTCTACAGTTTGCCCAGGACGCAATGCTTTAAAACAGCCCAGGGTGTATCATTACAGTTTACTGTCAAAAAGAAGATGAATTGTATGACAGTGAAATGTTAACTGCCTAATGGATGAGCTCTCAGGCAAGACGGGAACACAGGCGCACACACACAAACAATCTCCAAATGTTATTTGCTACAACACAACACCCCTCCCAGCATCATACTGTAATTATAGGGAAAATGAAGACCATCTTCATAGGGAAAAATCAATTTTTGAATGGGGGCAAATTCATAATGCATTCATAATGTTGCCTAGGCCACATAAACCGAAGCATCATCCCAAGCGGCCCTCCACCGACGCAAAGATCTGCTGGTGCAGAACCATGAAATGAGATTAGAAGGAAAATGTGGTGTGGGTAATGAGGATGGGCAGACTTCCTAATTTCTCTCCAATCAATTTAATCAAATTCCATTTCACCATCAGAGCTACAATGACAAGAAAATGGACCATCGTCTACCATCGAAATGTGAATTATGACTTGGGTTTAAAATATAAGAATAGTCTGGGAATTCCCATGCTTTTCACCTTCTGGTACTTCTGGAGATGATCTTTTGGATTTAGGATGACAGTTTCATTTACAGACTGTCATTGAGTTACTTTTGCTACATTTCTGTGTCCTTACATAGTTTGCATTTCCACAACAACAGTCATTAACGATTGGAAAGAGAGCGAGAAAGCAATAAACAGGCCCACAGCACTATCCATTTCTCAGCTAATGCCAGCAGCCAATGTAGTTTAACTACCACATGTTGTGAACACAATAGTGTGCAACAGAGTCCAAAAGGACACTGGCTGCATCTCCAGAAACAAACTCTCAACCTGTGTTTGGCTTTCATTATTCCCATCATGAGTTCTGCAATGACATCTGGTTATGGTACCATTTCCCTGAAAAATTGAGGAGAGCCAAAACTGACTGATTGCATAAAGCACAATGAGGAAAGCAGTAAATCCTGCCGTATTACGTTTCTAAGGTAATTTCACTCACTTCATGAACACAATAACTTAGCAGCTGAATCACGTTCCACCTCCTCATGAGGATTCTATAGCTGCGGCTTTGTTTCTACAGATAAAAATGTCACCTGTAAAGCCTCCAGGCTGAGTATTCACTAGGCCAGTACTTTTGGTCTTATGGTACCAGTCGAACCTGGACAAATGCAATATAGGTACTGTGTCAGTGGATGAGACACAGCTGGACAAATTGCTGTTTTGGTTTTATACAAGCTGAGCTTATTAACAAAAGTTCAATGTTGTCATAACATGACAGCTGATCCTTACTGAAAGCATAGAGCTTGTATGACAATTAGTACAAGCATGTTCTTTGTTTGAAGCTGCTTCATGTGTAGCTGAGCAAACAAGCACGAGAACAAAACAATGCACTAAGACAATTGGCCTGTGCTTTGACACAAGGTCTCGTCTCTCTGGCGTGCTTCATTTGGGCTGATCAAAAACAATGACGCACAACAGGGGAGCCTGCCTCTCTTCCCTCTGGAGACAACAGAGCACTCGACAGAACAGCATCTCCACCACCCTGCCTGAGCACAAACACCAACAACCCATCCCTCCCCTCTACCTAAAACACAAAACAACATGGCATAAAGAGTAAAGCTGAGTGATAATAACCAAAACGTAATCACAATATATTTTTGAGTATCATTCAATAGCGATAATTGTTAATTACCTTTCCTAATTGCTGGTGGTGTTGTCTGAGTTGGTAGCTGCACACCACTGTCAAACTACAGAAACAATGTTGTTTGGCATTACATATTATTAGAGAAAAACGGCCCAGTTTTACATTGCAGAAAAAGTATGGGTCTTCCTCGTTCCAAGATGTTTTCTTCAAACATGTAGCCCTATTAACGCTTCTTAATCAAGCACTAAAAAAGTTAGCTGGCTATTTCTTTCTAAGTGTCATATCCGCCCCAATTCATTCTTCTTGTTGACACCCTCTCTACTCTCCCACACTCTGTATCTCTTTTACACGTATGTAACAAGTACTCACTTGATGAATGAAGCAAATATGATAAGCAAATATAGAACAAGCTAACTAACATCTGGCTACGTTTATGCTGATAACATTCAGACTATGGTGAGCAAACTAGCAAATCGTTTTGTATTGGGGTAAGGTACGCTAAAGTGAGCTAATGCTTACGCTAATTTCAAGAGCTTAAGCTTTACTATAATCATTTGAAACTTGTATGCAGTAATAAAATAGTCACATGTGGCTGTTCAATATAGCTGAAAGTGTTGATAAAGCAGCTCTTTGCCATAGAATTATAGTGAAAAATTGAAATTCATCTCTGGATGTAGGACTGTAGAGTTACTGTAAAACTCAAACTGAATGGCTGCCAGCAGCCTTCTCTCAATTCTTTTAAGAATCAGAATGATTCCCCTCAAGGCAAGTGTGGAGGAGATGTCTGGGAATGGCTTTCTTTTCCAAAATCAGAGCTAGTGATGGGGAGTTGATTCGAAAAGAATTGACTCCAAGACCTTTCAGAATAGAGGTTTATAGATTTTTGGCCCAGTAACTGTGACTGTCTGTAACGCAGGAAAGAGGCTGAGTTTGAGTAGCATGAGTTGTTTAATTACGAGGCTTTACTGCTCACCAGCCGCTCGAAAGCACAAACTCATTTTTGACATGTCTGCTGCTGCAATTGCACCCTAACTCAAGAAAACCAAACTCTTCATTGTCTTGGTGATTAGGGTTGCAATAATCGAGGATTAGAAAAGGTACAAGGAATGAATCAAAATAAAAGTGAATATTTTTCACAGAACATTGAGGAAAACAGAAAAGAAGTACAAGATAACATTTAACTGCTCTGGAATTAAAGCTTACAGGAATTAAAAATTACTGATTAACTGTTCTGGTTAACTGGTTAATAATGGTTCGTTTGTGAATTGTGACTACAGTACTGATTTTCTCAGTACATCACTCTGATTTTCCTGTAGCCTGCTCAAGCTTCGGCTCTGTTCAGCAGCCTTATTATGTGAAATGCTATCTGATTGTAAGATGTGTTCAAACATTAGTGAGCCATAATCATTTGACGAGCTACCTAACATTACTTTGTATAATTATGAATTTTCATATCACTCTGAAGCTACTCAAAAAACGAAAAGATAGGTTAATCAGAACCTGCTGTATCTTTAAACTACTGGTTCTGCCCCTATTTTGGCTAAATTCAAGTGGAGTTGAAATAACACAAGAGTGGTGCATCACTAATGCAGGGCTGGTTTGTGTTGTTTTGAGTGAATGGTTAGATTTCTTCTGCCTCCCTCTCTAAAGAGTAAAAGCTACACATCAGCACTTA